ACCATAACATTGTAAAAGGATCCTAAAACTTATAAGTTACAAGATTTGGGTAGCGATTTACAAGTTTTTGAACCAGGATTACAACATTAGGGTTTACCTAATCCATAACGTTGTAAATACCCATTTACAAGGATATTGATCCACATTACAAGGAACTGGTAACTCTAGACCATGAGGATGTAAATTAGGTCCTTATTCTAGTAAAATGAGGGTTCACAACACTAAGGGCCGATTTTACAATTTTAGGATACGAGAGTACCATAACCTTGTAAAGAGGATCCAAAAACATGTAAGTTACACGATTTGGGTAGTGATTTACAAGTTTTTGTACCACGATTACAGCGTCAGGGTTCTCATAATCCTTAATGTTGTAAATCCTTATTTTACAAGGATATGGATCCAAATTACAAAGAATAGGCAAGTCCGGACCATGAGGATGTAAATTGGGGTCCGTATTGTAGTAAAATGAGGGTTTACAATATTAAGGGCCGATTTTACAATGGTTGGTATACGAGGGTACCATAACGTTGTAAAAAGGATCCATAAAGTTGTAAGTTACACAATTTAGGTAGTGATTTACAGGTTTTTGCACCACGTTTACAACATTAGGTTTCTCATAATCCTTAACGTTGTAAATCCTTATTTTACAAGGATATGAATCCAAATTACAAAGAATAGGCAAGTCCGAACCATGATGATGTAAATTGGGGTCCTTATTGTAGTAAAATGAGGGTTTACAATATTAAGGGCCGATTTTACAATGGTTGGGATACGAGGATACCATAACGTTGTAAAAAGGATCCATAAACTTGTAAGTTACACAATTTAGATAGTGATTTACAGGTTTTTGCACCATGTTTACAACATTAGGGTTCTCATAATCCTTAACGTAGTAAATCCTTATTTTACAAGGATATGGATCCAAATTACAAAGAATAGGCAAGTCCGGACCATAAGGATGTAAATTGGGGTCCTTATTGTAGTAAAATGAGGGTTTACAATATTAAGGGCCGATTTTACAATGGTTAGGATACGAGGATACCATAACGTTGTAAAAAGGATCCATAAACTTGTAAGTTACACAATTTAGATAGTGATTTACAGGTTTTTGCACCACGTTTACAACATTAGGGTTCTCATAATCCTTAACGTAGTAAATCCTTATTTTACAAGGATATGGATCCAAATTACAAAGAATAGGCAAGTCCGGACCATAAGGATGTAAATTGGGGTCCTTATTGTAGTAAAATGAGGGTTTACAATATTAAGGGCCGATTTTACAATGGTTGGGATACAAAGGTACCATAACGTTGTAAAAAGGATCCATAAACTTGTAAGTTACACAATTTAGATAGTGATTTACAGGTTTTTGCACCATGTTTACAACATTAGGGTTCTCATAATTCTTAATGTTGTAAATCCTTATTTTACAAGGATATGGATCCAAATTACAAAGAATAGGCAAGTCCGGACCATGAGAATGTAAATTGGGGTCCTTATTGTAGTAAAATGAGGGTTTACAATATTAAGGGCCGATTTTACAATGGTTAGGATACGAGGATACCATAACGTTGTAAAAAGGATCCATAAACTTGTAAGTTACACAATTTAGATAGTGATTTACAGGTTTTTGCACCATGTTTACAACATTAGGGTTCTCATAATTCTTAATGTTGTAAATCCTTATTTTACAAGGATATGGATCCAAATTAGAAAGAATAGGCAAGTCCGGACCATGAGGATGTAAATTGGGGTCCTTATTGTAGTAAAATGAGGGTTTACAATATTAAGGGCCGATTTTACAATGGTTAGGATACGAGGATACCATAACGTTGTAAAAAGGATCCATAAACTTGTAAGTTACACAATTTAGATAGTGATTTACAGGTTTTTGCACCACGTTTACAACATTAGGGTTCTCATAATCCTTAACGTAGTAAATCCTTATTTTACAAGGATATGGATCCAAATTACAAAGAATAGGCAAGTCCGGACCATGAGAATGTAAATTGGGGTCCTTATTGTAGTAAAATGAGGGTTTACAATATTAAGGGCCGATTTTACAATGGTTAGGATACGAGGATACCATAACGTTGTAAAAAGGATCCATAAACTTGTAAGTTACACAATTTAGGTAGTGATTTACAGGTTTTTGCACCACATTTACAACATTAGGGTTCTCATAAATTAGGTGGTAATAGTGGACATTAGGGATGTAAATTGGGTCCTTATTCTAGTAAACAATGGTTAAGGATGAATTTTACAATCTTATGGAACATAAATGTCCAAAATAGAGTAATACGAGACCTTAATATTGTAAACATTTGTGTTTACAAGTATAAAGACCTAATTTCAAACAGATGGTTTGTCAATTGCATTATACTTGTTCAATTTCCTACACTCTGTTTGTCAATTGCATTATGCTTGTTCAATTTCCATCTCACTGTTTGTCAATTGAGTTATTTCCTTTTCCTGAAAATAGGCAACATGTCTTCCATGGCATAATTAATATGAAAATAAATGGATACACATCAATTGTATTTAGTAGAAATATAAACATACAATTAAATTATGAAGGATTAGTCCTTACTGAGAAGAGGGGAAGGGAGGAAATGAGGAACAAGGAGGCAAGAAGGGGAGGGGAGAAGGGTCGGTGACCACTTCCCCCCCTGGGGGAACAAGAAGAGAGGGGGGTTAAGGTTGGGAGCTTTTTTTGCTTTGTAAAAAGCTTATTTTTGATGTTGTTGAGCTGTTAATATTGCCTTAGTGATGTAAAATCGGTCATTATTCTAGTAACAAAATTATTTACAAGATTAAGGACTAAGGGTACCATAAAGATGATCCATAAACATGTAAGTTACACGATTTGGGTATTGAATTACAGGTTTTTGCACTAGGGTTGTCACATTAGGGTTCGCATAATCCATAATGTTGTAAATCCTTATTTTACAACTATATGGATCCACATTACAAGGAATTGATACGTGTGGACCTTGGGGATGTAAAATGGGGTCATTATTCTAATAAACACAAGGGTTTACGAGATTAAGGACCGGTGTTACAATATTTTGGATACGAGAGTACCATAACATTGTAAGGGGATCCCAAAACTTATAAGTTACAAGATTTAATAGTGATTTACAAGTTTTTGCATCAAGATTACAACATTAGGGTTCACCAAATCCATAAAGTTATAAATACAAGGATATAAATCCACATTACAAAGAATTGATAATGTTAGACCTTTGTGATGTAAAAAGTGGCCCTTATTCTAGTAAACACAAAAGTTTACAAGAGTGAGGACCGGTGTTATAATGTTTTTGGTTATATAATACTATAACGTCGTAAAGAGAATCCCTAAACTTGTAAGTTATAAGATTGTACTTAAAATGCAATTGCATGTTGTTATGCAATTGGATGCTCCCTGGTTGTCAATTACACAGGTCCTATTTGTAAATTACTCAAATCGTCATGAATATTGGTAATACTAACTAGAAGTAGTTACTTAAAATAAAAGTTCGTAAATGATTAAACTAATATTTTCTATTTGTTACTTATTCATGTCTATCCGTATGACCTAATACTTTCTATTTGTTATAACTTGTATTTATTTTACCCTTAATTAATTTCAAATGTTTTTTAGGGGAAATAGACTTGTCCAAATGTATGGTACAATTCAAATGTTATAAGTTCGTAAATGATTAAACTAATATTTTCTATTTGGACTTGGACAGTAAGTCCTTATTAAAAAAGGAAAGGAAAGGAAAATAAAATAAATAACTTAAACTAATTAAACTCCTAAAGCCACTTGGAAAAGCCATCACACCAACTTGCAATCTCGTATAAATTTCCTTATTTTGCTACAACATATCCATATTCAAAACAATAAAACTTGGGTATCTTTATATAAATCCGAATAGTTTTAACCCAAAAAAAAAAAGTTTTAAGAAGAAAAAGCGCTTAACTTTATTTATGTCTATCCATTATAGCTTGTAATTGCGCAATTGGAATGTAAATGAGACTGCTTTGTTTGTCAATTGCAAGACTCGAATGCAAATGACACTACCTATTTGTCAGTTGCATTGACAAATCACATAATGTATTTTCATTCTCAAAATTGAAAAAGCTGCGAATAACATAAAGACTTGGGCTTTTTCGCTGTTTTACTGTCTCTACTTTGTTTGTTCTTGCTAGTTCTTTTTGTCTTTTCCCTTAGATTGTATTTAAAAGTGAAATCAGAGTTAGGTAATGGGAAGGATGGTGTACCATTTGCTCAGGGATATTTGAGATGGGATTCTGATAAGCATTCTGTTACTAGCCCAATAACTGTTATCTTTGCCAGCAAGTGAAATTAAAATAGGATCCCAGTAGAAGTTGTCACAAGCTTGCAGAGAATAACAGAAACAACTCAAGCCCCCAAAACATCGCCACTGCATGAAAGTTAATGATTCCAGGAAAAAGATAACAACTAAACAGCCAAAATATAAGTCCTATTGACCATGAAAACTTCAAACTAAAATCTAAGTGCGTATCAAGGAAAAGAAAATCAAGATCAAAGTAATAAAACCGAAAGCTTGTTTCTATTGCCAACGAAGGGAAGGACTTTGGTAGCATATATCAATTATTTAGTCTATAGACCGAAACCTAAATAATAATAGAAATAGAAAGAAAAAAAATGTAACTACATTCCACCACATTAAAAAGGGCTGGGACTTAACCACATCACTCTTATCTTCAATTTAGCCCATGCCTTACGTCACCAAGCTCATACAAAATTCCTTTATTTTGCTACAGCACAGCCACATCATGTTGGCAATTGACAAACATGCACTATGTAATTGCCATTCTGTTCTTTCCTTGAAAAAAAAAATGAATATGTAAGTGCCATTCTAATTTGCAGAAGCCGATCGTCTAAGTGGTAATTGCCAAACGACCACTGTCATTTAATTTAGCTTCTCTTCCATGATTTAAGTACCTAAAAGTAAAAACAATAGAATTTAGCATATCAATCAACTTTTACTTTAATTGCAAGTGTTAATAACTTAGTGACAAGTATATAACAAACATTGTTGGACACATGGTAATTGAAAAGCAATTGGATTTACAAAAATCAAATTGACAGACAGGAAGCAGGTAATTGAATATGTGAAATCCAATTGTATCAGTGGAATTCACAAAAACAAGTTGAGAAAACTAAACATACTCTCAACAATCAATCAAATGGACAAGAATTTACTTAGCACACAACTGGATTAATGGAACATAAAAACAAAATGATGCATATTATGCAAACTTGAAACGCAGTTAGATTTACAAATATCCAATTAGTAGACATGAAATAGGTAATTGAATATGTGACATCTAATTACATCAATGGAATGCACTGCATGTGGAACAAAATAACAAATACATGTAATTGTATCAAAGACAATTGCCAAACAGGATTTTGTAATTGCATCACTAAAATCTAATTGCATTAGCAGACTGCACCAAAACATGCTTCCAAGCACAAAAAAAAAAAATGCCAATAATCAATCAAATGAGCTAATAATAATCACCATATCACCATCTAATAAAGCTATTGTACCTTTTGGGATAGATATGACAATAATGTGTATCGCGAAATCTGATGGGTTGCAATTTTTGGGTCAGTATGCGCTCACGTCAAACAATTAGTGATCTGCATGGGTATGCATCCCTTCACGTCGAACAAGGGCTGCGAAGTTGTCGCTGTGTCTTCAATGTGTGTTATGGCCACTATATGTTGCACCTACTCAAAGAGAAACAAGGGCATCAGAAAAGGCCCTCCAACCCATTTAAAGATATAAATTTTGAAAATAAAACTCATTTCTAGTTAATTGACAAATACTGACAACGATAAACTGATAGAAGAGTTGGTTCCAAAAACACAATCCAAAACTACTCAGATATTCAACCCAAAGAAGATAATTAAAACCCAATTATCACAGTTCAAACCCAAAACACAAAGGTTGGCTGCTTATTCATGAAATTATAAACCAAATTCGAAATTTGAAATACAGCTGAAAAATTCAAACATAACATCATTTTAAACAGTAGTGTATCTCCTCATCAACATATATATATATATATGTGCTGTGTACAAACGTTCTCAACTTCTCATAATTTCTCTGGGCATATATGAAGTAAATCCTACAAAATTCTCACCCAATAACAAGGATTTTTCTTTTTCGATAACATAATTCAATTCTCATCATGTCGCACAATTCAATTAAGTGCGTCAAAGGTTGGCCATGTTTTTTTACAGTGACTTGAAGTCTCAAAAATTAGAGCTCCGGTGTGACCATGAAAAAGAATATTAAAGTCCAAAGTGGTCTAAGAAGATGAATAACATAAAGTCTCAACCATCTGTGTAAAAAAAACTTAATCACAGAATCCATATGTATCAACACATCAAGCACAAGGGGAGCAAGTTTATACCTTGGCTCAAAGTCCAATTCGATCAGGAAGTGGCCAGATTTTGAGGAAAACCCATACTGACTTCCTTATTTCACAATGAAAGGAATCACAACTTTGTTAGATTCAGACACCCACATCCACAAACAAGAAACCTCAAACTAGATATTGTCTTTATATAATTTCAACACAGCCATTAAACTGGACTTACAGCAAAAAATTTGAATACCTTTCTAATCATTTTTTCTCCTTTAAGACTTACAATAAAGTCTCAACCATCTGTGTAAAAAAAACTTAATCACAGAATCCATATGTATCAACACATCAAGCACAAGGGGAGCAAGTTTATACCTTGGCTCAAAGTCCAATTCGATCAGGAAGTGGCCAGATTTTGAGGAAAACCCATACTGACTTCCTTATTTCACAATGAAAGGAATCACAACTTTGTTAGATTCAGACACCCACATCCACAAACAAGAAACCTCAAACTAGATATTGTCTTTATATAATTTCAACACAGCCATTAAACTGGACTTACAGCAAAAAATTTGAATACCTTTCTAATCATTTTTTCTCCTTTAAGACTTACTTTTTTTTTCTCTTTCTGTTTTCCTAAGAGACTAAAGTGCAAATATGATCAAGTTTTCATACAAATGTGGCTATTTACTATTGAAAGAATATTAATCTAAAATGACCAACTATGAAATTTAATATATAATAAAAGTCATAAAGGCATAACTAAAATTGAATTGCCTTAACCTTGAAATTTTTACAACAAAAACCATAATGGCAGCTTCAACAATTACGCAGCTTCTCCTATTAAAAACACTAATTACTTTATACAAAGGGAAAATGTAATCTTATAAAAAGAAAAGATTATAAAGTGATAAAAACTCTAAAATATGAAATGAAAGCTGACACAAGAAAAGAATTCACATTAATCTTTTAAAAGAAAATAAAGATAGTCATCAAGCTAATAATTGTCAAGATATATGAACTCAACAACACTATAATTTTTAACAAATAAAACCATGTAAGGAATACACACCAAGAACGAGATACGGTAGAGCATGCGCCATGACCTTGCCCCAAACATCGAATAAAAATTAGTTTCAATCTCCATTACCCACCCAAAAAAACTCAGTTCTAACACAAATAGGCACTAGATCTAACGTTAAAACCTTTAATGACCCATAAATTGCAGCCATATATGACAGAAATACTGATGAAATTGATAAAATCTTACCTTTTCTAATGAATTTCAGTTTTGGAAAGGGATTTAGGTGTCTAGGATTAGGGTTTTATGTTGGAGATTTGGGGGTTTTGGTATGAGAGAAGCAAAATGAACCCGGAGAGGTAGCGCTTGACAAGAGAGAGAGAGAGAGAGAGAGAGAGAGAGAGAGAGAGAGAGAGAGGGAGAAAGAGAGATAGGTTTTGAGAGGGCTAGCCAAGAAAAAGAGGCAAAAGAAGGAAATTTTCAGAGCGTAAGCCAGCGAAGGAGAGAACGAGAGATGGGGTAAAGACCAGGTGAAGCTTGCCATCATCGTCGTCGTCGGTGGTTGCTTCCTGGATGCTAGAAGAAGATGAAGGAAGTGAAAGAGGGGGCTCAGTTTTTACGGGTTGGGGATTTTCCTTCAACCTGCTGAGAAGGTTTTCAAGTTATATCATTTAATGGTGTAGATCTATCCTTATTGTTTTGCCTAAATCTAACGGTCAATATCTATTGGCGCATGGATGCGCCAGGTCCACCGTAGAATTTTCC